ATACCAGGCAGTGCTCCAAAATCAAGAATCAAACAGTCCCAAAGATTAGGTTTAGAGATATTTTTGAAGCTGTTGGCACTCTGAAAGCCTACCTCTTTGCAAGTGGGTTGTGTGAGTGAGACAGCTGCTCATTCTGCAGAAACATCTCACAGGAAGAGAGAGGTAAAGAGCCAAGCACTGCACTCAGGATCCCTCTGAGCTCCTTTTCTTGAGGTTCTGTGTGGGGTTTCCATTGACATGTGTCTTGTGAATTTGGTTCTGGGAGGGGCTCTCGAGGTCGTGGAGCCTGTTGCAGGTAGTGTCACCACAGGGATTGCTGGTGAAGGTTCTCACGCTGTGTCCCTTGGAGGAGGCTCAGCATGGCTCAGATGTACCAGTCCAGCCACCCTGTTCTCCTCAAGGGCAGATTGGCCTGCAGTGAGTGGTGGCTGTATCTGATTAGGGTGTGAATATATCTGCTGTAGCCAAAATAAAGTCAGAAACCAGTGCAAAAGCCCTGGTCAGGAGATGCACTGAAGTCCTTGCTGGGCAGGTTGATCTTTTCCCAGTATTTTACAGCAATATAATGTAGTCAAATATCTTACCTGTCTAGTTTCTCCTCTCTTTTATTACACATACTTCTTTTTCAAGACAGAGCAGTCCCTGAACTTGAAACTAGACTATTAGTTTGTGTTCATCCTCCTTTACCATTTAAATTCAGTGTTCTTGAACTACTCATGGCAGATTGAGGACTTCTATCCTAACAGAAAGTTTGCTTTCTACTTATTTGTGTACATGGAATTTCTTCTTTAAAAAAAAATCTGCAAACTTCAACTTAAAATCAGAACTAGAAATAGATTTTGTCATACACTGGGGAAAGTTCTCACAAGCCACCTTTGATATGCATGGGTTTGCAAGCTCATTTGCCTACTCTTTCCTCATGAGGTAGGCTTCAACTCCTTGCAGATCTGGAAGGACTGGGTTACGTAGAGAGATTTCTATAACTGATGAAGCACCAAGCTTTTAGGGCCATTGTAGTTCATTTACCAAATATGCAAAGTAGTCATGTTCAGTATATTTTTTGTGGTAAAATAAAGTGAGCTGACTTGGTATATTTATTTGGCCAGAATTGTTTGTGTTTGTTTCCACTTAATTTTTCAAGAAGAAATGCAGTTTTGAGTACGGCATTATGGTATTTTATAGTAATAATTCTTTTTTACAGCAGGTTAGACTGCAGATAGATGTAGAGGGCTATGTCAATATTTCTGAATTTAATAGCACCAAGGGTCCCTTTGGCCTGAGGATAAGGGTGCCTGGCTCTGTTTGAGGCACAGCTGAAGAAAAGTTCTAAAATCTTAAATTCCCCAAGGGCAAGCATTTACAGAAGAGAAGATAGCAGCGAGGCTGTAGTATCATCACCAGTGTTTGCTGCAGGCTGCAGTGGTGAGGCTGCTGAAGACTGGGGCATTTGTTTGGCTTTTTTTGTAAATTTTTAGTCTTATGCTGTAGACTGAGACCAGGAATTTCAAAGATGTGCGAAGGTCTTAAGGATGGCATTGCTTACTGCAGAATGTGTGCTAAGCCATTTAGATATGGGCTTCCCACAGGGTATTGCTAAGTAGGAGTATGTTTCTGATAAGATTTTAGTTTAGTAGGAATGAATTGACCTTTATTTCTGTTTCATTATTTAGACAATTCTCCACTTTTCCTATCCATTCTCTCTGTAATTTCAAGCTGTTGGCGTTGATCGTGTCATGTTACTCTGGGCATGAAAGATTATGGCCCTTTTCATGAGCATCAGAGGTAACAGTAATGAAAAGTAGCTCAAACAAGTGTTAGAAAGGCACACAAAAAAAGAAATCCTTAGACAATTTTGCTGACTGCAAGGTGCTGAAACTGCTGTATCAATTTCAGCTTAGTGGACACTCGGCGCACGTGTCTGCTTTTCACAAATGGTGGATGATAAAGAAGCGCAAGACTCCCCACCCTGCAAACAAATGCCAGTGTTTTGAAATTGTCTTGTATTTCTTTGCTTTTTTCAAGAGCCAAACAAGGCTTTCTCAAAAAGCTGGCAGCAGCAGCAGCAAAGACCCCACTGTCATGAATCTGGAGACTAAAGGGTGCAGCATTGTTTTCTGTTATAGCAGACAATTTTCTCTGTCAGTTTTGAAGTTGCAAAAGGACATTTTAAAATTAAAAAATATTGCACTGTTTCAGAATTTGTGAATTGAGGATTTAATTACATTCTGATATAAAGAATGAAAAATAACACAGTAATGACACACAGGAAGCGAGTTCTGGCAAGATGGGGTCTTCCGTAGGATGTTGTCTTGTGGTCTTGTTCACATGAGAATGCTGTTTGACTCACAAATTCTGTTTAAATGGCAGATAATTTTTTAATACACAGTGAGTTTGTCACCTAGCTGCAAAATAAATATCAAGCTCTGGGTGATGTCATTCATGATATATTTCGTTTTTTAAGGCTGTGAAAAAGAAGCTTTTGGAATAATGCATGTGTTAAGTCTAGTCCACTTCTCTTAGAAAGTGATATATTCTTCTAAATGCATACATTAGTCTTAAATTCTCACATGGTTCACTTTTTTACCAGAACTATGCACAATAGTTATTCTAACAACAACAGCATCTATCACACAGCTATCACATCTTTCATACCCGTATTCACATTTGTTATTCCAGTTATGGTTACTGAGGAGTTGTCTTTTGGATACTATTTTAGCTGTGTAATGGCAGTAGATAAAGGATTTACTGTACCTTCCATAAGCAGTAACTTATAAAACTTTTATCTCTACTAATGTACTGATACACAGAAAATGCTTTGGATAGATGTAGAAGACTATTAATGTTGTATAAGCTAATACGTCAGCTTTGAAATAACAATTGGTTTGGGGAAATAAAAGGTGAAAAAAATTATGAGATTCAGGTTTAAGGTGCATCTTACAGAGAATAACTTAAAAATTCTTGCTTTGCTTGATATTGTTCACAGATGACAACTTCAGAAACTTCAAATAGAAATGTGCTTTCTACACTTTATTGCTCATGTCTGATATGCTGAAAATCTAAAGATCTACAGTATTTCCTGTCTATAGTACAATGCTGTGGGGTGGTGGAAGTTGATTGTGCATTGGGATGTAGAAGATGGCAGTGAATGTAAGAGAGGTGAAAGAGAGGAAGAGAGGTTGAGGTTTTTGTAATGGGAAGAACTCATCCAAAGCCATCACCTGTCTCTGATGCCTGTTGGATGTAGATCTCATCAAATTTGCAGATGACATCAAACTGGGGGAGCAACTGACATGCTTGAAGGCAGGGCTGCTCTTCAGAGGGCCCCAGGCAGGAATATTATTGAATCCAGCAAGGACAAATACCACTTCTTGCCCTGGCAAGGAGGAATGCTGGCAGATCTTCACAGTGTGACTTAATAAGTTTGGGACCAACTCTGCTGAAAAGGACCTGTGGGTCCTGGTGGGCAGCAGAATAAACCTGTGCCAGTCTTGTACCCTGGCATCAACACAATGAACAGCATCCTGAGCTGCATTAATAGCCTGCAGATTGAGGGAAGTGGTAATCCTCCTTTACCTGGCATTCATAAGTCCACATCCAGAATACAGCATCCCATTTTGTGGATGGGATGAGAATTTTGCTTAAAGGGAAGATATTGATGAGCTGAAGCAAGTTCTGTGGCTGTGGAAGCTGGAGCACATGGTCCCTAAGGAGATGCTAAGGGAGGTGTGGGCTTGTTCAGCCTGAAAACAGGGTTTTGGGGGGACCTTCTGCTGCATAGAAGATTGTTATCCTGGAGATAGAGATACACCCTTCACAGTGATGCCTGGTGGGCAGGACAGGAGAGAGCAGATGGGACTTGAGAAGGAAGTTCCAGGCAAGATGTAAGGAAAAAATTTTGTCACTATAAAGTCAGTCAAGCAGTGGGCTTCTGCAGTCTCTGTCCTTGAGGTTTTCAAGATCCAGCTGCTCAAACAGCCTTGAACAGCCTGGTCTGACCTCAGAGGAGACCCTGCTTTGAACTGAATTGGAGTAGAGACCTTCTAAGTTCTCTCTCAGCCTGAGTGGTTCTGTGGCTCTAGGACAAAGCTTGGAGCCAAAACTTTTTTTTCTCCATATTTTTTGGGACATGGTTGTAAGCAAATGGTTCAGCCTCTGCAGTATGGCAGTTACCTGTCTAGAAAGTGGAGGTAATGCTTTTTGTTTGCTTCAGTGGTGTTTTAAGATATACGAAAAGTGATGATGTTTTGGATGCTTTGTCAAAGTGGGTATAGACAGCAACATGGTTAAGCTTTTAAAGTCTGCCTAAGAAGTGGAGAGAGAGAGAGTACTGTGCATCTCTAGCAGTAACTGTGAAGTTGTTTTCTGGGTATTTACTTTAGTGAAACCCCACCATGTATGTATATTTCCAATATATATTGTCAATCACCTTAAAAGGTAGTGAGCAGCAAAATGTGTCAGTGTTAGCAGCAGCTCTGACAGCAGTCTCACTATGTGCTTCTACCAATTATGGTAACATTTGTCATATTTTCCTAGTTAATAGCTTTGTTCCTGCTATGGTGGTTGTTTCTGTGGGCTTCTCATTGGAGGGGAAGCAGACTTAGCTGCCTTTACATCAGGAGCACTGTACTGGTTCTGCCCAGTGTATCAAATGTACAGCTCACTGCTTGATAAACTGAGATGCCTATTTTTCCCCCCTCACACCTTTCAGCTTTGATGATCTTTACTAAGAGATTTGTAAAGCTGTCCTACAATTTTCACACATAAATAAGGAGTTATTTAAAAAAGAAAATCAGTAGTGCTCATTGGAAAAGGTTACTGAAAATTGCTTTCTTTTTGTGGCATTTCAACTTTATTAGTCTTTGAGGCAACATTACAGCAGGCAGGGGTGTGTTCATAGAAGTTTTAAGAAATCTGGGAAGCTTGAGATTTGGAATATTCTGTGATACCGTTTTTTAACTGGTTCTCTTTTTTTCTTTTCCCTCTCTACCCTTCTTCTGCAGGAAATAAAGAAAGACATGAAGAAAGAAAATACTGCCAACAAACCACCAGAGAAGCCTATAAATGAAGTTTCCAATGGAAGCCCTTTACTGTTGTCTGAGACAATTATTAGAACCAACAAAAAAGGTATAGTATATGGATATTAAAAGCAGATTAAATTCAGGCCCTCCAAAGAACAAAACGTAAATGTTCCTTGTTTCTAGAAATAAAGCTAGAGTCTATTTAATTGAAAAGGCATAGCAGGAATAAGAACAGTAAAAAAAAAAATCTTTGTCCTCTTGGACTGGCATATATGGATGCACGTCTAATATTTCCACATTTATTTGCACAGACATCCCTTTCTTTTTAAGGAAATCCCTCCTCCATACATTTAATTAAGGAAAGCTGTGTGAGGAGATTGCTAAAGCTTATTAAAGTAAGGACGTGGCAGCTTGCATATATGGAGGGTTTTGCACAGGGATGTCAGTCTACATTCGCATATTCATGCTTTATCTGGGACACAGAGCTCTAAAAAAAGGAAAGAAAAAGTGGAGAACACACAGCTTAATGCATTAGATTCTTGGGAAGTGTCTTTCACTGTCTTTGGTTTGAGACTGGAATGTGTGCTCTTCATGTCTGGCTTGACTCCCAATGCAGATTCCTATGTAGGGTTTTGGGTTGCTATAATGAAAGCCTCCAAATCTTCTGTGTTGTTCCCTAGCTCCAGCCCTGCTTTCAGAAATATCAGAACAAAGCAATATATAGGCAGTATTTTTCTTTAGGTTATGTTTATGCTCCTGTTTGTTGGTAGGAGGACAACTGGGTCTGTGCAAGAGATGAGCTGTAATTTTTTCTGGAGGATTCACTCGACAGTTTATTGCTTGCTGTCTTATACAGAATAATCTGCTGTCATTAATCATTGCTGTAATGTAATTTCCATTTTGGCATGTCTTCTATACTGTTAGGACTGTTATGGACTTTTCCTCTTATGTATTATCAGCTAGCATTTTATTTGAGCTGCAGTTTCAGTAGACGTCTTATACTCCAGACTTACAACTGCAAGTGAAAAATAATTAATAATTTTTGCAAATTGTATGACTTGTTTTAAAATGTGAAACCGACTAACCTTTACTTCTCTTGCAAGGATTGATATCCTCTGAAAGAAAAGTTTGGAAATAAATCTCAGAAAACTTTGTCTTTTGAGCTTGCAATGTCATCTTGAATCTGGAGACACGTCCAACATTTCTGCTTTGGGTCATAGGTTTTTCAAGCAATAGCAGAATTAAATTATGAAGAATGATTATTTTTCATGGCTGCTATACAGAACCATATGAGTAGTTGGGAAATTATCTAGGGACAAAGTTTGTTCCATATTGCTTCAGCTGCGATTTGGAGAAGGCTAATAGCTGTGGCAGATGCAGGGATTTGGGTCAGTCTCAAGGGGATAGCACTCCAAATATGATTCTTAGAGCACTTTCTCCTCCTCTTTCTTCCCTCTGGCTAGAAGTATTAAAGAATTCAGGAGAGAAAGATTTTTCTGTCTCTAGCTGAAGAATACAAAACCTCATATTTACCAAAAGGAGAAAAGCAAAGTCTGACATGAAGATCAGTAAGTTGAGGTAGGGGTTAGGTTTGGAAGTAGCAGATTTCACATTAGAATGCTATTTCATTGGAGTTTGTTAGTGGGGATTGCACTTCTCATGGCCGCCCGTACATCATGTCACCGTTGGTGCACTGTTCACGTTGGCTGCTTCTCCACAGCCATTTCCATTGCCTCACACAGTCAGGCACAGGGGCCGTGACCTGGCAGCTCAGCCAAGGGTACACAGAGCACAACAAGGCCAAGAGAGCTTCCCCTCGTTTTCCCTGGGATCAGTTTGAGCATGGTGCCACAGTAGCCTTGTTTAAGTGTGGACAGCTGAGCAAATAGTTACTGCTGTGTTCAGAAGGTGATTTCTGTAATCTGTGTGGCCAGTCTCATTGTGGAAAGTGTTGCCATATCGTACTGAAGAGGGAGCCCTAAATGCCATGAGTGTTATTTTCTTCGAGAGTTCTTGTCCTGGGATTTTTATTAAATCCTAATTCAGTCTGTTTACTGATCACAGAATGTCACCTGAAAAACATGAAAGAGGGTACAGGCTGTTTGTGTTTCCTTCCTTGGTTGTTTTTTTTTGGTTTTGTTGTTAGGAAGTGAGGAGGCCAGGGATGCATCTGAAGGTCTTTAACCACTGTTCAGCAGTGAAAATGGTAGGCAGTATTATTTATTTGTTTGGGCAATGTAATCCTGCTGGTTGCAACTTCAGAACAGATCCAGTGATGTGGGAGTGAAGCATTCTGTGCTGCTGCATTGTTTTTATTACCAAGATGATGATAAGTGCTATTCTATTGCTGTAGTGTTGTATTGTGTAGTTTTACTACTTAACTTGGTTGGCCTAATTTAAGTGTCAGCACTTTAGCAAGCATTTACATTTTGAGAAGAAGAATCTTGGCCTCTTGGGCTTCTGGCTTGTAGAGAGTTCTTCCTTGAGAAATACTGACAAATGTCCAGCAGTGGTGTTCAAGGAAAATAGCTAAATTATTTTTAAGAAACATCTACATAACTAAGAGGAAAAGAATGAATTTCTGAACTAAAAGGGTTTTTAGGATCCAACTTTATATCCTGTTTTCTCATGCTAATTATTTCCAAGTACAGTATTGAATTTAGGGAGTCTAAGAATAAAATCAATGTAAATTGAAATAAGTGGCTGCATAATATTTGTTTGCTGACTGGGGTTAAACCACAACAGTAATGAGTGTTACTGCTTTGGATTACATGTGTAGCATAGGAACAAATTAAAGTTGGTGTAACCCCACCAGCAGTAGTCTAGCAGGGTTGTTATTTCCATTGCATAGTAAGGGTTACAACTGGTTGCATGTCATTTGTGAATCACTCAGGTTTTTGTTACAACGGCCAAGAACAGATGGAAGGATTTGATTTTTTCTGCTTTTCACTGTGGTTAGTAAAACCAGAAGATGTCTCATCCTTTAATGTTTCTTATTGACCACAAATATTAGTGACCTAATGGAAATGAACAGTAGTGACCACTGCTGTGGTGGACATAATTGAGGAAATGCTGTTACACCTGGCCCTGATGTGCTTGTGTAGCTATTTCCTCTCTTTATAGGGTTATGAGTATGATCTAGAAGTCAGATACACATAAGAAATAGTGGGGTTATTTTCTAGATCTTCCACAGAGTTGATGTAGAACTTTTGCTAAATCTTTAACTGTTGGCTAAATTACCACACTTATCTTCAGAGGTCAGGTATTTTAATATGTATTGATTTTTCAGATGGGCAGGGCTTTATTTTTTCTGATTAATTGCAGTGACATATCCAGATTTATGAGTAACTTCCATGTATTTCAGATGTCTCTGCCTTAGGCTGCCTATTGGCAAAACCTGGTTTATACTTGCCTCATTAAGATGTTGAGGTCTGTTCCAGCATGGAAGTGATGGCAATTAACATGCCGGAAACCCAGCATTTAAATTTAGCACTGCAGTGGGCTCATGCTTCACCTCTGAAGGGTTCAGGAAAGGACCATTTGCTGCAGTGTAGGGATGGGGTTGGGGAAGCAGGATGAGCTTCCCTGGCTGTTCCCAGGGCTGCAGCAGCTCTGGGCTGGTTCGATGGGTGCTGCAGTGTCAGCCCTGTCTAGGGTAAAAGGCTGTGGCACTGAGACATCTGTCTGAGGCTGGAGGAATATCAGAATGTTGGTGGCTTGCATATTCATTACCAGAAACTGGGAGGGATCATTCTTTTGCTTCTTCCTATAGCTCATAAGCCAAGAAAATCCTTTCTTCACCACAAATGGGTCTTCGAGTATAACTTTTCCCTTCTTCAGTTTTCTTTTGTTGGCATATAGAACTATTGTTGTAAAACTTTTACAAAGCTGACATTAAAAAAAAAATTAAAAATAGCTTTTTTTCTATTTAGAATTGGCATTGTTGCACTTTGATAATAGTAGGGTGGGAAAGCCTTTCCTTCCCTGAGAACATTTTCAGATTGTTTGAAAAAAGCAAAATTATTGCTATTGTTGCAATTATTTAATAACACCAGAAAATTACAACCAGGTCTTGGAACAGAAAAACATTGAAAGATACATATATTTTTTCCTTAAATGCTTTTCCAACGTGGTGAAATTCCATCTCTTCTAAGTTTCAAAATCTAAAAACAGATCCAAAGTTGGGCAACTGTTTCAGATCTGTCATAAATTCAGTCTGATCTTCATTCAGGTATAAGAGGTCATAATGGAAACTTGCCTTCCATAAGCTTTAAGTGTTAAATGGCTGCAGTTTATTTTGGACTAGTTTTGCTCTGATTTTTGAGTATCCTATTTTTAAATATCTTATTCATTGTGCTGTTTTGTGTGTCTGGGAACAAGAGCCCACTTGATTAGGTCAAGTTGCAAAACTGGAACTGATAGACTGTATTTTGTAAGTAAGCTTACAACAATTGTTATGTGAGTAAACAATTTGAGGCAAAGATATATTGCCTTGTCAGATATATTTGTTTTCTATAAACTGTAATTGCAAGCTGCATTGAGCCAGCAAATCTGGAACAGTTTATCACGTGTTACATGTTCTTAATCAAAGCCAAACACTGAAAGCAAGGAAAGTTTTTTCTAGTTCTCTCGAGAATTATTTAATTTACCTTCCAGCCTACTTTTAAATAATAGAGAGCATTTGCATGCAATGCTAAAAGGGAAGTTTTCTGTAAATAGGTTTGGTGATATAATAGGTTTAATTTAGGAATAAATAACAAGTTTTTTGTATGCAAAACTGAGACTTAAGCCTATTTTTGTAAATTAGAGAAATGGGAAAAGTATTTTGTAAGAAAAATGCGTCGTCATTTTGTTCGATAGTTTTTTGATTATTTGGATGTAAAAAGGCACACAATTTATTAGAAACACCAGCTGTTGGCTTCTCAGCCTATGAATGTGTTGACTCTGGATCTTATATTAAATGATCTATGTAAGCTATGATTCTGGTCATATTTTTCAACAGAAAAGCAAACTTCAAAATCTTTTTCATAAAATATTTTATTACCAAAAAGTGCAAGTGACTGCCTTGGTCGTGCTTGATGAGGTGTCTGACCCTCAGTATGCTCA